ATCATTACTCCAGTCTTCAGTGTCACATAATCCTTCAGAAATCATTCTAATACGCTGATTTGCTGCTCAAGAAGCATTTCTTATTATTGTCAATGTTGCAAACAGCATATATTGTGCTTATTAATATATTGTGGAAACTGTGGTAATTTTTTTCAGGATTTTTTTATTGAAAAGACAGTCTAAAAGAACAGCATTTATTTGAAATAGAAATCTTCTGTAAAATTATAAATGTCTACTGTCAATTTAGATCAATTGAATACATTTTATTTTAATAAAGATATTTTAATTGTAAATATATTTTGTTATTTATATATATATATATATATATATATATATACATAGTCAAGCCTAAGTAAACTGTGACATATCATACCCAAAAAATCTTCATACAGTGGACTACCAGTAAAATTGATAAAAAATTTGGGACCATGTATGTAAAATAATTAAAATATATTTAGAGTTAAAATATTTTTACTTCACTAGTTTACTTACTTGCGTTGTATGCTTTTAGTATTTAGAAATGCTGAGGGGTTTATGTCCATATTATGTAATTTTAATTTAATAAAATGTAAAATTTTAATGTGTGTGTATATATATATATATTAGGGCTGTCAAAAAAAATTTGAATTTTGAATACTCGTCGAATAAATAAAAAAAATCCACATTCGAATGCAAAAACGTTGCATTCGGATTTAAGGTCTGCGTCAGCCGTCATGCAGCCTTATCAGTGGCGCACGAGATGCGATGACGATGTATGTGTCATTGATTGCATTTGAATGCTTTTGTTAGCCTATCCAGTTGAAGCCACTAGATGCGGCGCTGCTACGTTGTTCATTCATATATTGCGTAAAACGAGAGCATCAGTGTGGAGAAGATGTTGTTTACGTCAAAACTGAAACCAAGCCGTTCACACAGAACGCATATTTATCACATTTTCTAGAGGGACATCTATCAGCATTGCACTCACGTCTCGCAGAGAGCGGCATGTTTAGAAAGCCATGGAAAATTAATGCAAGTTCAACTTTTAAAAAACATGTCTAAAGACGTTATGGCAGTTTTTCCCCATCCCACTGTATCTCATGTTTTTAAATGAAGAAAGTAGCCTACTCTTTGTGATTGGTTTTCGGTCCTTTGTATTAAACTATACATACATGCATGATGCTGTTTTTTTTTTCTAATTGTTTAAGCAACTTTATTAATTATACATGGTTTATAAACATTATTTTAAACATTATGCACTTTTTTTCAAAGATAGCCGTGTTATTTTATTACGCTTTGAAGAAACGTGCATAATATTTTGCTCGATGCGCCCTCTTGTGGCCTCAGGAGAGAAGCCAAAAGCTTTTTTCCCCCTAACTGAAATTATGCCTTTTAAATTCGAATATAATTCGAATATGGCAGTTTTTCCCCATCCCACTGTATCTCATGTTTATAAATGAAGAAAGTAGCCTACTCTTTGTGATTGGTTTCGGTCCTTTGTATTAAACTATACATACATGCATGGTGCTGTTTTTTTTCTAATTGTTTAAGCAACTTTATTAATTATATATGGTTTATAAACATTACTTTAAACATTGTGCACTTTTTTTTCAAAGATAGTCGTGTTATTTTATTACGCTTTGAAGAAACGAACGTAATATTTTGCTCGATGCGCCCTCTTGTGGCCTCAGGAGAGAAGCCAAAAGCTTTTTTCCCCCTAACTGAAATTATGCCTTTTAAATTCGAATATAATTCGAATTTTTATATTATTTAAGTAGAAATTTGGAATTTAGTTTTTCAGTCATTTTGACAGCCCTAATATATATATATTACAATTTTAAATGTTATTAAAGGGGGTTTGATATGTCTGTGTGTCGTGCCACAGCAGGATTAAAGTCTCCTTTCTCAACGCCTCCAGTCCTCCGGCCCTAGTCTTATTTGTTTTATTTAAACCAAAGCTTCCAGCTTGGCCAGGAGTAGAGAATGATCTCTCCCTCTCTCTCTTTCTCTCTCTACACCTGCTAATATTTCAAAATCACTCCACCCAGTTTTCATGCCTGTTTTTGTCTGCTCTTGTTCATGCAAATGGTTTATGAAGGATAAGTGACAGGATGCATGCCCTTTTCTCCATCTTCAATGTTTGCACATGAAACGCTTGGCCGTAGATTTTCAGTTTTTTTGTATGGGGGTGAAAATATGCAACCGAGAGCCAAAGGGAAATGGAATCATTCCACATGAGGAATGCAGCATCGCATGCTGGCTGTTTCCTCTGGGCCATGGCCCCGCTGGTCCCTGAGCTGTCGTGAGGGTTTGCCGGAGCACGAGGTCTCGTTGCCCATGCGCTGCGACAAAGCACTGCATTGTTGACTATCTTTAAAGTATAGCATTCAGCACATCTGTGAGCCTCCGTTACAGTGCAAACACAAGCTTGCTATTAATGCATTTATCGCCAGGTAGCCATCGGTGGTCCCTGAAAACAATAACTAGCAGAGTCTGCTAACTCAGTGAAGATGTGGATTTGTTGTATATGTTCTCCAAAATCCCACTCCACATAGGAGTGTTAAACATCAAATGTGATTTTGTAGCTCTGCACTATTTCACTTTTGGTGAGGACAGACAAATTACTGAATTCTGGAAACTGGTGGCTGGAAACACTTTCTCAAATTTTAGCTTTTTATTCTATATATATTCTGAGAAAAAAGTCAAAAATGCGAGATATAAACTAACCTTTCTGAGGGAAAATAGTCACAATTATGAGATATAAACTCAGTATTCTCACTTGCTCCCAAGTTTGTCTCCTGATTCCGAGTTTATATCTCAATTCTGACTTTTTAGTGGAGTTTGAGAACTCAGAGTTTGTCTCACAATGTTTTTGTTCCTCCACAAAATAAAAAATAAAAAGGTAATTGCAATTTTTTTTTTTTAATCTTACAATTTTTACCTTTTTTTTTTCCTCTCACAATTGGGAGTTTATATCACAATTTTGACTTTTCTTCTCAGAATTGTGAGTTGACAAGTTAACGAGTGAATTGCAAGTCAGAATTGCAAGAAAAAAAGTCCAAATTGTGAGATAAAAAGGCTCAATTACTTTTTTATTTTTTTATCCTGTGGCAGAAAACAAGCTTCCATAATATGCACTGTAAAAAAAAATCTGTAGTTTTTACAAAAATAATTTTGGCAGCTGTGGATTCCAGAATAATTTTGTAAAAAATGCAGAAAAACTGTAAACACATTTACAGAACAAACTGTACATTTTACAATATTTTACTGTTAAAATTGCACTCATTTTTACAGTGTGTATAGATATTGTTGCTGTTTTATTTATAATTTTTTTCCATTTTAAAACATCATATATATGTGGGTCAAAGACATTAAGATGTCCGCATCAAAAGAAATTTACAAAGGTGATTTTATGTCCATAGAAAGCACATTAAATGTAAGTAAAGTGTCTACTTTTAAGGTTTCAAATAAGTTTTTGGAGAATAAAATGTCAAAATTTGGTTGAAATAATGTTACATTGTCAGTGTAACACAATATTTATGTAAAAATTCAAACAACATGCTTATTCTGACGTGTACATATTAAAATATATAAAAGAATAAGAGAGCATATTCAATTTGATTGTGTTTTAAATGAGTAAAAAATTCTTACTGACAAATGGGCAAAACCTATAGGATAGTGGCAAATTTAAAAAATGTAAAATTACAACTAATTAGTATTTGGGGTGAAAGTAGTTGGTCTTTTAATGTCATAAATTGATTTTTGTTGTAACTATGCCTATGGGGGCGGGGGGGACAACAACAATTTAAAGCATTATTACACTTATTGTTTTTATGCTTAAACTCTTTTTCGTCTTTGACCCATGTACATATACATATACACACACACACACACACATATATATATATATTTACTATCCAAAATCATTTAGTATAGAGTTTTCATGCAACAGTAAGGTTTAACCTGACATTTTTGATCTTTCTTTCAGTTGGACCCTCTTTCTGAAGACGTGCTACAACAGAGGCCGAACCCCAATGCTATTCACTCCATGGAGAAAGTTCTGGAAGTCCACAGTGAGTGCACGCAAAGTTTCACAGTTCATTCACAGAAGGCCTGATACATATTGTACACAACTGTTGCAGCAATTATTGTAGTGTAGTCTATTTTATATAAACTTACCCCTGAACAACCTGTAAAAATTGTGATTGGCTTCTTATATATCAATTATAAAGAGTTGTCTTCTTGAAGTAAACAGTTTCTCATGGGAATATTCTGCAGTATAGAGCAGACTTTATGCTGTTTAGTCATAACTCTGGCATGCATATGATGTCTTTGCATGCTACTTGACGTCTTACACCTGTAAATAAAGTGCTGTGTCAAGTTTAAGGCTGAGCTTTGTGCTTAGGTAAATACTGGCGCTCGCTGCAGAGATCTGCCTCGACTCTGGGCTACTCGCTGCTGGAGGCTCAGAGATGTGAAACTGAAGAGGCAGAGACGGTGACCGCCATGGCCTCCCTGTCTGTGGCCAACAACTAGAAAATAACAAAACCACATCAGAAATTCAGCAAAAACACCTAAATCAGTTTTAAACTTTTTAGACCTGTCTCAACATTTCCAAGCATGAATGAAAATAAAACAATTCATATAATATTTAGATTGACTTCCAGCATTTTGTTAAGGTTAAGCACCTCCTTTCATTGACAGTTTGCTCAAAAAATGACTGACAAATGAGTTTCAGACTGTATTATTCCTGGAAAGTGGCATATATTTGCTCATAGCAGGCCTCCTGAGTGTGTCTGTTTCTGTGACCCGTGAGTATTTATGATTGTGTGGGGGCTCTGTGATGGGACAGCAGTGTTCTAGAGGTGCAGGGCAGGTGATAAGCAGGCGAGACTCTCTGAATGTGCGGGGCAGACGTCCAGCAGCGTCAGGCTTCTGAGAGACACACTCTGCCAGAGTCCTAATTGAAAACACTCAGGCAGCATTGAGCACAGATGCTTGAGGTTTCTGGACCTTCCTCACACACTCACACTCTTACACACATGTGTATTCATGTGCCTAGCACAGGTTCAAATTCACATTATTTCCTGTTATTCCTATTAGGGGCCAAGTGTAGAAAGTGTGTTGACACTTATTATAAGTGTTGATTTTCCTAGTTTAATATTCTGTTTTCTGGCTGGGCGTTTGTCAGACTCATTTTGGAGGGTCTCAAACACTCTTGTGCCACCAGAACACAGTTCAAAATTTCATGAGCATTTTAGCTTATAACTTTCGAAACAAAATTCCTTTTTTTTTTTTTCACTCCTGACCCTGAATTCCGTTATTCTGGCGGTTTCAATTTCCTCCTGATTTCCTCCAAAATTCCCAAATAGAACATTCGAATTTTGTTTGACTCCGCCATGCACCATTTCCTTTTCCATGAATTTGCATACTGTTTTTACTACTCATACAAAACTGGTTCAGGTCATATTCAGACTAAGACACAAAAGCCATTAAATTGATTTTTAGCGTCTTACACCTTTCTCCAGAAAAACCTGTGAATTTGACACCAAACAGGAAGTGATGCATTAACTCTGAAATGAGTGTGTATAGTGACCCCAAACTTTGTACATATTGCCAAAGGAATACCATATACATCCAAGTACAGTGCCTAAATAAAGCCAAAATGGAAAATCTGCACTATTTAAATATAAATACATTAGCACCTCCTTACTGAAGGATGCCAAGTAAAGTCTTTTTTGTAAACACATTTTTTTATACATTTCTGTAATTGTTTTTATTTTTAACTAAAACTGTTAAAATGTTAGTTGAAATTAAGCTGAAATAAAATAAAATATAAATATTGGATGAAAACGTAAAATTTATATGAAATTTTAAAATGTATGTTGCCTTAGCAGCTAACTTACAAAAAAAATTTAACTAACATTAAAACTAAGAATATAAAAATAGAAGCTAATTCAAAATCTAAATAAATACTATAATAGTATATAAATAATATTAAAATACATGTACACAGGTGTTCCCAGAGGCAAGGAAACCTGGAAATATCTTGGAATTTTAAAATTGCGATTTCCAGGTCTAGGAAAAATATTCAAATAAATCAGATCTTAAATTCATGAACATTATATTGTGAATTAAAATTTATTGTACTTGTCAGGGTTATTATAGTTAACTAAAAATAAAACTAAATCCATAAAACAAAAAATTTTTCGTTAAATATTTAAAATATTTTGGAAAAAAAACTATAATACTATTGTAGGGCTGGGTAAAAAATATCGAAACGATATCGATTCTTAAATCCCAAGAAACGATTAGTCTAGCCTGTTTTCAGTTAATGGACGGAACATTGAAGGGCACTTCCCATCCAATAAATCGCAATAAGCATTGTGCGTTGGTACTTTTAATATGAAACAAAGTCTCTGATTTCAATTTATATCCATTGTATTGCAGTATTCAAACAATAAATGCCTAAACAATGTCACGTAATGTCACATTTACCTCAGAAACAAACATATTCGGTGACCATAAACTCATTAGTTTCGCCAGAAAAATTAATTGTAGAGAAGGGGCATTTAGCTAAATATACGCACCATATAATATTCATTATAATTTTTTTACTGTTCTTTAATGTTTTATTTATGTTTGAATAAATCCGTCCAAGTTTTTATGACAGCCACTATTTAAATGTGTATATTTCCAAAAAACTAACCGAAGTAATTGTAACCTAATTTTCTAACCTTCATTAAGTGCAATTTAAGCAGTTGTACAGCACAAATCAGTCAATTTTAACCTTCAGTATTATAGTAATGCAGTACCAACTGACTCTCATGTATATCTTACAGCATTAGTTGAGAGATTTTTTTTCCCTTGAGAAAATTTGGCATGTACTGTACCTGATATGTATCCAAAATTATCGAAATCAAATCGAGTTGCTAATCGAATCGAATTGCAAGCTTGTGAATGAGAATCGAATCGTGAAATTTGTGTCAAAACCCAGTCCTATACTCAAATACAAAAGATACAGATACAAAAATAACACTGGTACTTGTGCTTGGCTCAAAAATATTCAATTGCTGATTATATTCAAATTTATTAAATTTATTAAAATATCTGGAAAAGTAATGGAAATTCACAAGTGAAACGATGTGTTTTGCTCATGTGTGATGTATTGTTTGTGTATGTGTGTCGCCCTACAGAACAGAGGAGGAGCCTATGGAAGAGGAACCTCCATTGTAGAAGGTTCGATCGACTGCCTTGGTGACCCTCTCGGCTCAGAGCCTCTTCAAGGCCTCTGACGTCGCTCTACTCTCTCCATCCGTTTCATTTTTTGTCCCACGATGTGCGCTCTTTGAGCACGGGATCCGAAACGGCCTGAAGAAATCTCCATGACACCCAGAGTTCGACAAACGTCTCAGCCGTGTTAGTCTGTCTCTGTCTGTGGCAGAACGTCCGGGATTGTGCAACCTGGTCTGTCCGCAGGGACACTTAACTTTTGAGCAGGACATAGACTCACGTTTCATTGTTAGATGTGAGAGCTGGTGCTTTCGACATGAACTTTTTCATTATTTTCCAGAGCCACTATAAGACTGATTTCGGCTGTTACGGCCTACGTTTTTTTATTTGTCGACTCTCTCTGTTCGTTTGTCTGTCTTTCTTTTATTCTTGGAGAAAAAAGTGACTCATTCCATTCGCAATTCCAGTTACTGCTTCACGAGGGTGGACGATGTGATTGGAAGAGAGATTCTGGGAAGCCCAACAGAAAGTCAACAATGTGAGTTTGTGCCTTTTGCAAAAGAGTTTCCGTGATGGATCCAGAAGAACATTGCCTTAAACTAGTTAAAAGAGGGAAAACGTTTCGCCGTCTCGGTTTTTCTTGACACCCGACGGTCAAAGGCTGGCCTGAAGAATCGAGAAACCCTCAGCATGTTTACCAGGAGCTCCCTGCAGATATCTTCATGTTTCACACACATTATGACCTGTTTTATGTTCCTTCATTTTTATTGTGCTTGTGTTGGACGCTACATGACTTTAAGTGTCACTGACAAACGAACTTTAAGGTAGTTGCCAGCTATCCAAGGGCAAAACGTTCGATTGAATTCTCCAGCGCTTTAAAAGGCAAGCCAATGTAGCGACTCGTTTCAACTCTAATGACCAAATACGCGCCTTCTCCTCCGAAAAGTTGACCGGCATGCAGCTTTCCATCTGCCAAGTTAAGAATTCACCCGTCGTAGTTTAACAGCGCCGACAAGCATGAGTTTGCTGTGAGCATATAGGATAGGGCTGCGATGACCACGCGTCATACGATTTGTAGTTCGAGACAGACTTTCTATTTTTCCTTCTCTCCACATGTTGTACTTTTATATAGCTATGAATGTCTAGTATTTCGATTACTTTACAGTTAATCAAAGGGCACTAGTGTATCACTACTATTATTCTACTCAGCAGATGGTCAATTTTATTGACACCTTTGAAACAAGCGGAAAAGGGCTGGTTACCGATTTTAAATGTACCACTGAGCCTTCAGACGTGCCACCTGGTGAGATTTAGCGCTGGTTTCCTGCCGACAGGCCTGAGCGAGGAGGGTTATGGGCCTTTCGCTAGGGGCAGGTGCTACCGAACAAGTGCCCGTTGCATGACACAATCCAGGAAGTAGCGGGACCACCAGTTTCCACTCGGAAAACAATCAAAAAACGCCTCTGAGACGACTGTGATACTCAGACAATCTGCATGGGACATTGACGTAGTTTCGGAGCCACAGCGGTGCTTCGAAGCGGCACATAGAACTGTATATATATACGCAATTATGCATGCTGACAGTAGATTGTACATTGAACTTTTTGATTCTGGACTGATGAAGAGGCGATAATTTGTTTGACAACCCCTGACTCATGTTTAGCCTCTCGGCAACTACCTTTGGCATTCTTTTTCTGTGTGTCATGACTCATGTTCGATATGAGACGCATTAAGGCGGGAGATTTGACTCCCCATTGCCATTGTTCCTCGACTTCATTTTTATATATGGCTGTCACGTATGACTACTCCACTTTGGGTTCATGCCTGTTATTTTCTTGTCTGTTTTACTTGCCTTGTGAGCTCATTTGTCAAGTTTTTTTTGTTGTTGTACTTTTTGGATTATTTACTTGTTTATTTGTCAGTCTCTATGTAGTTGACCATGTGTTTTACATACTTACATCTTTAGTTTCTTGTTTTAGAGAGTAACACGCCTTTTTTAATTTGTTTTATTTAGGGTTTTTTTTGTATGCGGTGGGAGGGAGATGCTTTTACTTTGTATAATGATTCCGACAATTGTGTATTTACTACGTTCTGTTCATAGTAGATTTATATTACAAAGATCTATAGATATATTATATATTATTGCAGACTCTAATAAGAAAACTAGTATTGCAAAGTGATATATTTCAGTATGTGGTCTGGCTTCGGCCGTCGCTGGTTCCACTGAAGGCACTGTTTATTGGTTTCATGCATTCGCAGTAGATTTACTCTGGCACCGTAAACTCTTGATCAAATGGATCTTC